AGTCGCAGTCGCAGTGGCAGCAGCAGTCGCAGCAGCAGTAGCAGCAGCAGTAGCAATAGGAGTAGGAGTAGGAGTATTAGGGATAGTACGAGCAGTAGGAGAGTAGTAGTAGTAGTAGTAGTAGTAGTAGTAGCAGTAGTGTTAGTAGTGGTACTAGGAGCAGCAGCAATTACAAGAAGTAGTCGGAATGAGCAGCAAGTACGCAGTGCAAGTACGCAGTGCTACATAGCAGCCAGTTGTAGCAAGTAGTGGCAAGCATTAGAAGGAGGCAGTAAATAAATGGATTCTAACTCTCATTGTAGTAGGCCCTTAGTAGGCAGCTCTCAGCCGGAGGAGCGTGTCTTGGTGCCCGAAGTTCTCTTCGAATCCAACAGAGGACTCGGCCTCCCCGGGCTTATTGCACCTTGAAGCCTTGATAGAAGTCTTGAAAGTTTCAGGCTTCGAGGTCATTTCAAAGATGCCTTGTGGCCTTTAATGTCTTGAAAGGGAGCTTGGGCCTTAATTGGAGTCGGAATCTATTCGAAGCCCTCAGCCTTACAGCCTTGTAGTTAAAGTTGCCGTACCTTTTGCCGTCTCCCGTCTCGCTTCGCCCAGGTGCGCTGCGCCGATGCAGTGCTTGCCTCGGGAAAGAGCAGCGAGGAGGGAGTCCGTGAGCTGCTCCGGCAAGTGGTACTGGTGCCTCGGGCCTACTACAGGTTTTCTTAGACAAGATAGTCCGGGTAATGATACTATCAAAGGCTCCGAAAATCAAACTCCATTCATTAAGGCCTCCTATGTGACGCTTTTAAGCATGGCTGAGATGGGAGTTACCTCTGGTGGGATGCTTGGTCTTTCGGATTTAGCAGGGTGGACTGTGCTGCTTCGGAGCGTCACAGCTTTGCACTTGCATAAATTACGTCATGTTACGTTCGGGGAGAGCATAAGAACCCTCTCTCTTCACCACGAAGGCCTGTAATCCTCAAAGCCTCACCCGAGCTTCCGAGGTTGGTGGTGCAGCAGACTTTCCGGGTATCCGGCCACGAGTCGAGTACGAACCTGGGCTGCACTGGGACAGATCTGGCGCTTTCTGGGTTCAGCTTGGGCATTTGGGGGTGTGTTCTTTGAGGCTGTGCGGCTTGGCTGCAGCATAGTAGTTGCTACTGCAACGGCTCCTATTCCTTCTTCCTTCTGCCGGTCCGTCTGATCCTCCAACTTCCAACTTCTCGTGGCAGGGTACGGCTCAGCTTGTGATGATGATGAGGATGATGCTGCTGATGATGATGGTGGTGGTGGTGATGGTGATGATATTCAGGATAATGGTTGTGATGACGAGAGTTACGACTCCTGCAATCAGTGTTGCTGCTGCTGGCCTGCTACTGCTACGGCTACCTATACGTGCCTACGACGACCATAACGACCCCTCACCACTCCCAGCCCTCCTCCCACCGCGGCCACCGCCCCCACGGCATGAGGCAGGGGAGGAATGACTGCAGCTGCTGATTGCAACGAAAACCGTCTGGCGGATCGATATGGCTAGTTCTGTGTTTCTGCAGAGGAGTTTTGTGGGCCACACCTGCAGCTTGCACTGAGGGTTGATTCAGCCATGACACCTAGGCCACCCCGGCTGTTTCAGGGCATGCTACTACTAGCGTCCATCTCTCAGTCGTCTTGGCGTGGCCAAAGTAAAGCTACAAAGCTGTGACCAGGAGATGCGAAGTCTCTTGCAGAGCTCCCAGTTCGAGCGCCTCCTCGCCTGCCTGAGCTCTGCAGAGGATGTCTTCGTCTTAAACCCTCCGCTTGGGGAGACGGGGCCTTTGGTTACTCCCCGTTTCGTGCCCCTGTCGCCTGGGCTGCAGAACGCATGTTCTTCGGGAAGAGTAGAGATTGAAGTTCCTTGAATCTTCAGCCGTCCAGAATCCTAATTGCAGCCAAGGTTTGGTGGTTGTGTTCGTGCCGCAAGCTCGAAAGGCTATGGAGCATGGGAAAGGGACAGCAATGTCGGGGCCCTTCGCAGCCTCCCCTTGCTGGCTGAGATGCCGGAGGGATCTTCCAACAGTAGACAGGTCTTCTGGCAGCAGCGGATGCGACGAATGCTGGCTTTGCAGCTGCCTGACATTTTCCGCACCGGTGGTGGCGGAGGCGAGGACGACCAGGCCTGGCAGATGCTGGATGAGGACAGCGATTCCGGGAGCTCCAACTTGCACTTCGAGGAGCAAGAATCTGAGAGCCAAGCCTCCCCTTCCAGTCCGGTGGATTGGCCCAGCGCAGTCGAAGAAGCAACTGCCTCCCCCAACGAGAGGGTTTCTTCCAGCAGAGGCAGTGGCAGAAGCAAGGGCAAGGGAAAGGGAAAAGGAGGGGGAAAAGGTCGAGTGAGGCGCGGCCGGCTAATTTGGAGGCCGGTGCAAGGCGAAGTCGAGTGACTTGCTGACTGTTGTACAAATCAGGTGCCCCGTAGGCACTCAAGCACATTTTCCGCTCGGCAAACGAGTCTTGCAGCGTCTCTTGCAACCAGATTTTTGGGTTCGTAGCGTTTAGGAATCGAGCTTGGCTTTGCGGAACGTCGCAACAAGGCTTGCTCTGTGGAATTAGGGTCTTTGCTTCGTGCTGCGCAATGCTTGGAACATTCGGATGGTGTGTTACTCCCTGTTTGATGGCCGGTCTGCCGCTCAAAGCAACGGGCTTGTATCGACCTCTTCCGTCCACGCGCTACTTGCAAGGGCCTTGGCAGTTTCAGTAACAGTCTGGCGGACTTAGCAATCCTATCGGAGTCCTGTCAGGGATGATAATCACCCTGGGTGCTCTAATTACAAGTTCTTCAGGCCAACAACATGGATCAGAACGAGAAGGCTTTCCAGAAGCAGGCTTGCGCAGGGTTGCTGGACGCCGTCACCGGCATCGGCTTCCTACTACAATTTAGGGTTCTGGGTACGTGGTGTTGCCTGAAACTGCCACGTACCGAGCCGCGGCCTAACTTTCTCGAGAGTTTCCAATACTGAAAGGAGATTAGATGCACTGCGTGTTTTATCATAATCAGTTTCCGGAACGTGACCAGCGATTCTGCTCTCTGCCGCTACAGTTTGTGTTTGTTGTTGTTCTGCTGCTGCCGTGTCCGTGGCCGTTGTGGTCGCAGTGGTCGTCGTCGTTGTTGTTGTTGTTGTTGTTGTTGTTGTTGTTGTTGTTAATGTTGGTGTTGTTAATGTTGGTGTTGTTAATGTTGTTAATGTTGTTAATGTTGTTAATGTTGTTGTTGTTGTTGCTGTTGTTGTTGTTGTTGTGTTGTGGTTGTTGTTGTTGTTGTTGTTGTTGTTGTTGTTGTTGTTAATGTTGTTGTTAATGTTGTTGTTAATGTTGTTGTTGTTGTTGTTGTTGTTGTTGTTGTTGTTGTTGTTGTTGTTGTTGT